TAAATGAGAACATGACATATTACTTTCAATTTTTTATCATTCACCATTTTTTGCTTGAAACTTATTGCCTTGGTTTTTTCTAAAACTGATGGGTTTCCTTATTTTATTTTATTTTACTTTTTAATTAAAAAATAAAATACTTTCTTCATCGGTTTTTTAACATAACCGAGAGGTTTTGTTACACAGCTACAAAAACTAATCTATACCCTAAATTCATAAAGGAACAATGCTCGGGATACTGTCAAGACATCAATCCACAACTAACAATCTACACCCACCATTATATATCTTGTTCTCTCTCTCTCTCTTGTGAAAGCATTTGTTCAAGATAATGAAATCTTCGAACTTAAAGAAACTTGGAAATATTCTCTACGATAGATTGCAAGAGAGGGAAAAAATATTTTTGCTTCAAGTTAAACAGGGAAAGAGATCAACCTTGAATATCTTAATATAAGAATGATACATACAAACCATAGAACTTTAAAAAATGGACACAAAAGGTATGCAACAAAATCAAGACTACAACAAAGATTGGTTGTTCTCCAAGAATAACAACGGCGATGATGAATTCAAATTTATTATAATTAATGTATTTTATTATTATGTGTAATCAAGAGTTAAATACATATTTTAATATAGAAAAGCTTATTCACCGTGGTTTTAAACTGAAACAGAGGGGTAAATACGTTTTATCTCGATTTCTGTCATAACTGAGGGGGTAATTAAGCGTGTTTAATGAAGATATTCACCATCCTTAAACATATCTTTGTCGTCTATTTAATGAGTATCAACGCTCAAGACACTATCATTAGTCATATGAGGAAAACCTAAAAGATATCCATTACAAAAGCATTTTGAATGTCAAAAATTGATAATGAAACATGAAGCGCTTGAAACCATCTACATCCACCATTATATATCTTGTTCTCTTTTTTGTGAAAGCATTTGATATGAAAAATTCTCTATAATAGATTGCAAGAGCATGCAATTATTTGGATTTAACGTTTGTGTTTTTAAATATTTATTAGAGTAAAAAAATATTTATTTATCTAATTTTTTTTGTTTTATATCAAAAACAAATGCAAGAAAAGAAATTGAGAATATACTCGCGCTCTAACATTTGATCTTCATTGACAAATTAATTTTTATTTTAATACTTTGTGTAAAAATATAATATTCTTGATAAACAATATAGTTTATAAACAAATTAATTTATTAATATTCTATGTAAATAATATAACAATTAAAAAAATCATCTTATCCCATTGGTTTTATTCATAAATCGAGAGGTATGTGACACTAATTTTGAAAATAATAAAAATTTTGAGGTTGGAGTTCGAACCCATGTGCAGATAATTTTATCCCTCGATTTTTTAAATGTCTTTCATTATTTAACTTCAGTAGCCAAAATTAAATGTATTTCGTCTCTTGAAATTAAATGTGTTTTTTTATAATAGTAGTAGTTGGTGGATTTTTTTTTTTGGCTTTTCTTTGATATTTCTGTTTCTCCTTTCTTTGTCAGTTAGCTAAGGTGGCCGCTTTGAGCACTTCTAGTACTCTTTGGGTAGGTTTGTATTTTCGAATTCTTTCTCCTTTCTTATATTATTAATATATGTTATTAATATATAATTTCCACTTTACTATTAAAAACAATTATTATTATTATATAAATATTTTTACTAACTTACAAATTTAATACTATGAATTATTTGAATTAAGATATATTTATGATAAATATTTGTTTTTATATTTAAAACCAATTTTAACTTTTAAAATTTTTCATAACTCAACTAAAATTGTTTTTCTTTTTATTTTCAAAATTAAAAAAAAAAAAAACACACTTCAAAAGTGTCTAGTTATTAGTATTATAAATATGATTGATTAGTTTTAACCACAAATCAAACATACACATGGTGATCCACACCATGAGGAAAATAAGCTAGATCCTCATAATGACATTAAAACTAGGGTTTGGCAAAGACTAAAGTGTGTAACTCACCACATGTATAACATTTAGTACATACCATTATATACAGCTAAGTCCAACCAATAAGAGTAAAGAGAAAACAAATTACATAACCAATATATTTTTCAACCAGCACATTGAAGTATTCATTTCTCTATAAATTTGTGCCCTCTACAGTTTCCATTCAAAATCATCCTTTCTTCTCTCTCTTTTCTTACTTTTTTTTCTCTCTTGTTTCCTCTCAAAGTTAGATCTCAGGAGTTTTTCTATTTATATCCATACACATATATATTTTATGTTTGTTATTCTTATTCAGATTTTACATGATCTAGTTCAAAATACATCCTTATAATATATATCTTTATTTTTCCATAAAAAAAAATATCTTAATTTCTTAGAGCAAGCTAGGTTTTTATATTATACCTTTGATAATTTTTTTTTCTCTTTTTAATTTAAAATTTTAAAAATCTCTTTGTTATAGGGATAAGGCTTTGAAAGTGTGGTTAACCAACTTTTGAATAAGATTTGTTTAGGTTATCTTTGATCTTTGAAGGTAAAGAAAGCATGCTTTTGTTGTTGTTGTTTATGAAGAAGTTGATCCAATTAATTTTATATTTGTTCACTTTATTCATATAAAATTGAAGTTTTGTTTTGTTTTGTTGTTGAGTTCAAGTATGAACTGAGTTCAAATGACTATAGATTCCTTTCAAAGGTCCTCGTGTGTTATACTTATTCCAACCACTTATATCATGCCACGTCAGCTTCTCCCCGTGGCCTTGTCCACATATATATAAAAAAATATCTCAATTTTATGTGAACCCTTCTTTGTTTTCTATTCTATTCTTTCTTTTTCTTCATTTTTATCTTTGGAGATTGGTCTCTATTTATATAGCAACCTATGAAACTTTTTGAGCTATTTATATGGTGGAGCTAGAGGTTGAAGAATGATTGATGATGATCATAGTCGTTGTTTGCAGATGTGGCATCATCAAGATTCACATGTGAATCATGATGGAAAACTTATAATCTCCATTGATGTTTTGAAATGAGAATCTTGATGATGCTGCATCAGCCATAAACGATTTTATAAATCCAAGTTCAACTAGCAAAAACCGATATTACTAGATTGGACGTCATCACCTCAGTTCAAACCCTGATCCTGAACAAAAATATTCACAAGACTCTTTATGATTTCTTTCAGGTGGAATTTTTTTTTAATTTGTTGTGTGAGTTTTTTCTTGTTAATATTAATTGCTAAAATACTATTTATGATTTCATAATTAGATGTCATAGATTTGTAGACAATAATGAGTGGAGTGTGGCTGTTAATGTTTTAGGTTCATTTTTGTGCTGACTTCAAACAGATCTATGAATATTCTCTTACAACAGAAATACTAACTGGAGTAATAATGCTGTCTTTTAAACTTTATTTATATGGAAATATAACCTTATCCAATATAGAGAGAATAAACTATAAATAGAGAAATATATAGACAGGAATGAGAAATTAATATTCCAAATTTTTAGAGATGATATAAGTTTTTACTTATTATTGTTAAGATTAGTATAATATAGGATTTATAACCATATTGTATACACTTATATTTTTACCTAATTAAAATGTTTTCTCTATACTAATTGTAGTGAAGAGATATATTGAGGGATGAGATATTTGTGAATTGTTAATTTTCTTGAGATGCAGATTCTTAAAGCCAAATGTTTTATTTGTTTTGGGGAAATGGTTAGAATTTGAGTTCCCATGAGCATTGTTAATTACTAGCTAAAGTTTAATATTAATTATGTATGTATGTAGGAATTAATTAAAGAAAAATTTAAAATATGGAGATTGTTCTTTGGGTAAAACTAGGAAATATCTTGGGTTCCATGTGGTTTACATGTGATGATGATGATGAGTAAAAATTGAAGGTAACTTGAGAATTGAATATGGAAAATCAGAGTACATTTTGTCAGTTTCATACTTGGCTTTAGCATGCACTGAATCACTCACTCACTCAGTATACACTATTCTACTCATGGCTGTGAAATTGTACTCTTGTATCATATTGCTAAGTCATCTCAATTGCGGAGATATATCAATTCATCAATAATTATGTCTATTTCAAATCAATTCTATTAAGGGCAACCACTCTCTTAGCACTAACCCTTACATTACATAATGTTGTCAATGTCTAAATTGTTGTGAAAATGAAAATATTTAGTATTGTTTAGGTTAACATCTCTTACTCAAAGTAAAGGAGCAAACCAAAGGATAAATTGTTTGTTAATTCTCAATGTTACATCATGATTTGATATGGATTATTAGGACAATGCGAATTAAAATATTTTTTTATGTTAGAAAAGATTGTCGTTGAACTGCTCGGTGAATTTGATTAGTTGTTTGTCTTGGAAGTGGATTCAATCGTGTTTACTGGATATTTATTTTTTACTTTTAGACTGGAAGTGTAATCCGTTCAAGTGTTTAGATAAATAGGAGTGGGTTGGGTGGTCAACTGCGTTTCTTTCAATGATCGATAGTCTTGCTTGTTTTTTCTCTATAGGTTCTATCAAAAGTTTTTTTCTTCTCGTTTCTTGGTATTGTTGGTCTTTGTATGGTTCCATTGTTTTCTTTGTTCTTTTTAGTTGTATTTTACGATATTTTTGTTATTTCTTTTGCTTTGAAATATTTCTGGTGCTCTTTATTTTTCCGTTGTTTTTCATGTTTTTTTATAAATAAGAGAAATTGCATTAACGCATGCACAAAGGATGCTCAATCTTAATACAAAAAAGAAAAAGAAGCGTAGAAATAACGAGAAAATCAACTAGATTAACAAATGTAAGCTAAGAGACTTAAAACCCAATCCTTTTATCACATATAAGAAGTTTCTTGGATCTCGTTCTGACTGTTCGTTTTGTGTTTTATTTGAATTGAGTTTATGTACTCTTCGCTCTTATTTATTTTTTAGATATATTTATATTTATGTCATTAAATAAAAATTTAAAAAGTCATTAAAATAAAATATTTTGTTCATGGTTGATGAAAGTGATGGAAGTAATTTATGTTGAGTTGGCATTGTTGTACAATTTTGGTTCACATATTCTCTCTAATCTATGCTACACAGTACACATACACACGCTCTTCTGTGTGTCCAAGATATATCCTCAACATCGTGCCCTACTTCTTTGTACTACCTATTTATTCTCTTTCTCTCTTATTGGTTCTGTAGGGATCATTCACAAGACTCATTATTTTGTTTGGGATTCTACTGACACTTATACACTTTTATTTTGGATCTCTGTCTCTTTTTGTAAGCTTCAGGTGATTTGCATTTCTTAATCATCACATTAATAAATTTATTATTTTAGCAAAGTTAGGTCAAATTTACTATATCATGGGTTTTCTTATTTTATATATATATATTTTTTTTTTTAAATAAAATTAAAGAATGCAGTAATATTAATATGATCTACTTAAACCTTAAGAATACTGAAGTAACTAAAGTAAAGTGTACGTAATACAACAGTAGTTTTGACAAGACTTGGCCCCTTTTGCTATAGTTTAATAAAAAAAGTTAAATTAAAAAAAAATATTAGAAGTTATATAAATTCATTTTCTATAAATTAAAATATTAATTTTGAAATTCAGTAACATAAGCATATGCTCTTAAAAATTAAAATTGCATAATTGTTTTTGAACTATATATTTAAAAAATATTTTTTATGAAAAATTATTTAATTTTTTATAGATATTTTCGATATTTAATTTTTGAAATGTTATTTTACATCAAAATGATTAAATATCCAATATAATATTTTATAAAATATATTTAACCTAATTTTTCATTTTAAAGTTTTCTATAAAAATTTTGTAATTTTTTTAACAAAAATATGTAACAATTGTGTATCCGGTATTCTTTTCTTCTTCTAAACAAAATTTTTATGATTACAATAATATGTACTTGATAGACAATCGGAGATACAACGAATTTAGCATAAGCAAAGATGTTGTCACTTAATATTTCTATGATATACAAGTGTAAGAAAATCTCAAGACTATATGCAACATAACAACTATATACAGAAGCTTAGAGATCAAAATAATTCTTGTTCTTGTTGTATATTGGTGTATCTTTCTTTGAATCTTCAGCTCCTTATATGAAGGGAACAAAATAGACGTTGGAAGATTTCTTGCACAAGTATCTTTGTTGAACAAGCAGTTTCTAAGAGAGAAACATTAGAGTAGGTACAATTAGGATCTTTAACTTTTGAATAATCTCTTTATCCATTGTGTATTTTTCAAGTAAGGAGACCATAGGCATGTTGGAGTAGACTGAAGAAATCATGTCAAACAACCTTGAGCCTTGCACTAGAACCCCAAGTTAAATTTCTCCATTATTCTGGCAATTGACAAGATAGAGATGTTTTTCACATAGTACAGACCAAGGGCGTTGTACTATGTTTCTTGCTCATCATAGGTTGAGTCAATAGGTGCTAAGGTTATATGTGACAATCAGATCCTAATCCATTAGAATCTGATTGAGATGCTTCTTTTTCATTAGCTTTTTAACTGGGTCAGAACCAAGTTAATTTCACGCTTAATGATCCTGCACACTTAAATATTTGTTAGTATACCCTATTGTAGCGGTAAAAAGTTAAGACTAAGCCATTGATTGACTTAACACACGATATGAAAGTCGTCACTACACTTTATTGTTCCAATGGAATGGGAAAAGAGCAAATAAAATCCAAAATAAAATAGAGATCAAGGTAAGGGGGTTGGTTATGCAAAGGGAGGGTATTAGCACCCTAAACATCTACGGTACTCCGCGAGAACCTCTTTGAAAATCTTTGTATTTTTTGCTAAAATAAATATGTACAAAATAGATTGTGGAGATGAGAAAAGAAGTATTTTTTTAATAATTTTTTATTTGACAAAGCTTCTAATGAGCTCTGGGTCTACATACCAACAATGTGCAATGTTGAAATCAAAATCTATGTTAGTTTGGGTTAAAAAGACTAAAATTGGTTTGTTGTGATTGGTTTTAATGTGAAAGACATTTTGTCTTATCTGAGTGGAAAACCAAATAACTATGATAATCATGGTAAAAAGAGAACTTTCTTCATCTTTAACATGGAAAAAATTTAGCCTAGACCAACTCAACAGTGCAAGTCACAACATAAAAGTTAAAAGTTACTTCAATATTATCATGTTTGTTAAAGTGGTGAGATTTTCAAACACTCAAAGAAAAGACTAATATCTTAAACTTTTTGAAAATATTAAAAGAAAAGTGCACCAAGGCACAAAAAGTTTGATTGAGGTAAATGACTTTTATTCTTTTAAAAGATGCCAAAGTATGATTAAATAGATTAAGGTTTTGATTAAAGAAAAATAGTTTTGAAAATGCATGGATCTAAGTCCAAGTTTATTATAAAAGCGGTTCAATTTTGAAAACAAGAATCCTTTGAAAAAGGGAGAGATTTGAAAATTAAAGAAGAATGGGAGAAGATGAAGAGACTATTCTAAAACATAAAGTAAAAGCTAAGGTAGGAAAGGTCTAACCAACAAGAAGTCAACACTTGACACAATGAAGTCAATGTAGAATTTCCATCTTTTGGATTAAAGTCACAAGCATAGAATATAGACCAAGAGCATACTAATCATCAATGTGAATATAAATCACAAGAAAAAAATATCAAAGAAACCCAAGTTATTTAAAACCCAAAATATTGAGCCATGTGTCATATAGATCACTTAAGACCAACATAACAACACTTGCACACAGAACATTTCTCAATACACAAGCAATATAACAACGAAGCAACACAATATCCAAAGGTCTAACGGTACCAAAGCATCAAGGCTTCTAATCCTAAGTCCGAGAGGTCCACAACTCCAATATGCCAAGGATAGTAACCAATAGTTCGTAAAGAGACTTAAGTCTTTTAATGTTCAAGTTGGATTATTAAGAACGAAAATAACAAGTCCAAGTGGACAAAGAAAGAATGCAAAAGCATAAACAATACCCAAGTGAGCAAAAGGCAAAGTGCAGAATCATAAACAAGTTGCATGAAATAAATGCTAAAAGTAAATGAAAATAAAGTAAAATTACAAAATTAAAGGCATAAAGTAAAGTTAATTGTTAATGGTTAGTAAGTTAAAAATTAATTGTCAAAGTATGATCAACGGTGATTGAATGATGATCTTAGACCAAGAATAATGAGAACTCATTAGAGAATTGATAAAATCAAAACCTCATAACAACAAGCCTCATGGGTATTGGACTCAAGATAAACAATCAATCACACTTGGACATTCAAACATAAAGTTTGAGCCACAAATGGTCATTTTCTGATTCGGGATAATTTAGCGCTATGTTAAGAAATCGTAAGTGGACTTATGTAGAAGTAGCACCTATCTGAAGTCGATCAATAATAATGTATGTACCATACATGTTAGAGACATGGTAGAAACCATGCTCCTAAAACATGTAACATAAGTAAAAAAAGATCAAGACCTAAATTACGATAAAATAAAAAAATGGAAATAAATAAAGAGAAAGAAAGAGAGAACCAAAATCAAAGTGGATCAAAGTATCATTTCCACATGACCAAAAATTTAGTCAAAGTCAGAACCATAATAAAAAGAAAATTAATATTATAATCAAACAAATAAAAAAATAATTAAAGAAATGGTAAGTAATTTAGAATTAATTGATGAAATACATAAAGTGTATCAAAACACTAAATAAAAATCCTAAAAAATTACCAAAGGTCAAATATAAGTCAACAAGTGTTGACAAAATTTTTCACAAGTTCCAGAAATAAGAAACTAATTTTAAAAAATACAAAATCAAGTGAAATAAACCAAAAATATCAAAAAATAGCAAAAGAATCAAAAGTTGAAAGAAGCAGGAAGAGTACATTCTCAACATTTTTGTCACGCTTATAAAAAATATAAACATGCTTTCAAGGAGAAATCACATATAAAAATAAAAGCATTACATTTCAGATAACATGATTCCTATAGCTCTGAAAATAAGACGTGTTCCTAAAGTTCAATCTAGTGTGTCTATGCTACATCAAATCAGTAGTTTCTGAACTACTCATCAGAATAACAAGACAAGCAATAAGTCTTAAGCTCAACACTTTAGAAACAGAAATAACATATTCCGGAGAAATGAATTTCTACAGAAACAAGTTAAATAAAGACCAGAAATGTCCAGATACATCTTCAGTAGTGTTGTAATCAAAACTGACAAATGATCACAGTTTTCAAGGAGAATAATGATGGCAATTCTCAGCTATATCTTAGATAAATAAAAAGAAGAAACCATGCCTCCTACATAGTAATCATTACAAAAGGTAGATTTGTATTGAAAACATATCAAACTGCAAAATACACGTTACAATGCATTATGTGCTCCAACAATACTATTCTCTCAAGCCTATATAAAGCAACCTTGTTATACGTGTGACGGTGTGGCTGAACAACACCAATAATTTCACAAGCACAAAGTAGTATCACTTTTAAATGAAATACTTACACTAAGTTGTTGCTCTATAGTGTAATATTTCATTAAGCATAGTAAAGTGTTAACAGGTTACTAAGAATCATCAGGTTCATCACAACTCAGTTCCAAAAAGGTTGTCAATCTTACAAGAAAAACATCACAACAACGGAAAGAATGAAGGATCAAGGAGCAATAAGAAACATGAGTCAATACTCGTGTCTTGATCATTGAATAAAAGAAGGTGAAGATCTCAATGAGATGTCATTCAAAATATAAATAAAAAATGCATCTCAAGAGGAACCAGAAAAAGAAGAAAGAAGCCATTTATTCAGCTTGATTAAGAGAGAAGATGAAGATAAGAAGAATACAAGATGTTTTGCACTTAATCTCCATAACATTCAATCTTGTAGAAACATTCAAAACACAAGAGTTATTGCTCTAATTGTGTTATCTCTTAGAAATCTTCATGTAAATTGTTTTAGACAATGAGTTATTGCTCAAAAGCTTGTCAAAAACAATATGTACTCTAAGTAGGAGAAATCTGCTAGATAAGAAGCACTCTTGTAAATCTCCAGAAAAAAAATTCATTCCAAAATTTTTATTTCCTCAAGTGACTTTCTATTTTGTATACTTGATAGGGCTAAGAGATCTTTCTAGACTCTTAAAGGTTGTTGTGATCTTTCAAGATTAGTGGATTAAGTCCTTGTTGAAGGCAAAATCACCTGAGGAGGGTGGACAAGATGTAGCCTTAGTTGAGAAGGTGAACTTGTATAAAAATGAATGTGTTCTTTACTGCTATTAATTTTTAATTGCTCAAAGACTTCCG